CTGTTATTTTCTCTACCCTATCTCAAAACAGGATTGGTCAAGTCGACCTACCTTGTAACCACCACAAAAATAATCGAAATAAACCTAAATTAACTTTTTTTTTTAGAATGACTTCATATTGTAACATGAAACTACATTCGTTTATCCCAAGTAGATCTAAGTTTGTAACATTATACATCTATTTACAATTAAATTTTATTGTTTTATTGACCTTTGAACCATATTTAATTACTTTCTGTGTCATTAAAAGTTGTAAATCAATCAGAGAACTTGCAGGTCACTTTGCACTATCAAATTACATTACCCACAAGCTTCTCGCAAGCGTGCCTCATTAATCATGAACCATTTTAATTATTATTATTATTATTATTACTTATTTTACCTAATCTAGTCTTAAATAACTTAAAAAGATCTGTATTTTTAGATTTTAGTTACTTTTACAACAATAAATAAAGAATAAATACAAAAAACAAGAAATAAAGTACTTACCTAATCTTCTTTTTTCTTGCTGTCGAGTTTCAAAGAGAGTTAACCCTAATTTTTAATACTATAGATAGTAATGCACTGAATAATTTTTATTTAATTAAATAATGCACCAAAGAATATAGACTAATAACATACAAAGAGTAGACATATTCACTTACCTCTCAAAATTTTCCTGGCATTCTAGCTATGCGATAAGAGCCATTACAAATTCATACTACCTAGTCGTTAACATTCCCATGGGAACGATGTTGCTACTCTGAGTGAAAGTGATGATTATCTGTTCAGAACACAACATTATACAATACGTTATTTGACAGATGAAAACCTTGACTTTCTATTGGTTATAGGTAATATATAATGAAATGTAAGAGAGAAATATCAACGAATTGTGAAAGAGAAGATGTGACAGGTGGGTGTAGCAGGAGGGGTCTGATTTTCTATTTGATAGGTCTGTAACCAAAGAAAATAGAAGGCTATAAAAATTCTGGTCTATTTGAACAATAACGAGTTTATAGAGAATAATTTACATTTAATTTCATACATTTTTGAAAGGTGATGGATGAAATAGGGATGATGACATGCTAAGACAAAATGTGCCACATGGGTCACACTACTGGAAGTTCAGGATTTTTTTAATATTCCCCCTATAGAATTAAGAACTTAAAACTTGTATACTATTAAAATATGAATTATTAGCTAAGATTTTATGCTATTCTAATTGGTAAAACATAAACAAAAAGTACTTTAATAAAATTTTAAATGTAAGACACTAAAACCTTGTGTCATGTGCAGTAAAGGATACCCGGGGTGATAAGGTTAAAGAAATTGAATTTGCATTATAGCAGCAATGATCATTAAACTGTAAAAGTGAAAATAGTAGTTCAAACATTAAATTTGAGCAATAAGCCCATAGGTTCTCTCGTTCACCTACAGAATTAATAATTGTATCAATAAATCATCAGATTAAACTGCTATTTAATCATTTTCAAAACTTGTATTATCTTGTTAAAACTTCAAACAACTTTTTTAGAATCTGACATACTGCTATTTTTTCCTTACAGAAAATTACCAGTATATTTAAATTTACATATAAGTAACCTGGAGGAAGAGGTACTGTAACAATAATATTTAAACTTACTTGTTCACTAAAAAAAAATTATTGAAAAACTAGTCTAAATTGGTGATTTTATCATAATATATTAATTGTTTCACTTTTATCAATTTCTGTAATTGCATTTTTATGCAAGCTTCAAACTGTGTATGAAATACCATATGGTAATTCAAAAATTGATTTGACCAAGGATACTGGTAGCAAAAATACTTTTCCCTAACCTGACTGAACACCATTTATGAAAGTCAGGCTTTAGATTGCCAAAGATTCTTTGTCAGTTTAAGCTGAAAGTGATGATTAATGCAATTGGCAAAGCAGCATTTCAAATGATGTGTTAATGAAAGCAAATAAAGTTGATACTGACTGGATATAAAGAAAGGAAGTTTCTGATCAAGAACTAAAAATACTGAAATTAAGACAAAAGGAAGTATTATTAATTTTTTTTCAAAAAAATGTTACAAAAACAAATTTTGTAAGTTTTATCACATAAAAATAAGAGAAAAACTAAATCAAATTATGTAACTTTTTAAGAATTAAACTAGATTGTCTTTAATAAGCAATTAAGTTCCATGCAATTCAGGTTAAGTATTTCCACTGTGAGAAGGAAAAAAAAAGTCAAGGGATATAGGTGCTTGACCTCTGGTCTGGTAAGGGTTAACAGATTGCTGAATTATATTTTGACTGGGTTTCATTGCCGATACATTACTTGTTGTGTGTATGGGTTTTTTCACTGGAGGCGTGGTGAGTGTAAGCACTCAAGTCTGTACCCCTATTGAATTTTCCATGACTGCTGACTGGTTTCTCATCTGTTTTTTGGATTTTGTCTGATAGATGGGATATCCCCGATGCTTTTGGGTGCAATTACCACAGGCAATCTTTGTTTTTTATATATATTTTGTTTTACACATGCACACACCCTTGATTTAGACTCCCCCTCCCCTGGAGAGGTTACTGTGGATGCTCATGGTTGTGTGGTAGATTTTTTTGAACTATTACTATTGATATTCTAGTCTATTCAGTATTCACACAGCTAAAATGAATATTTTTTCGCCACGAATGTTGGTTTTTACAGTTATTCTTTAAACTGTGCTTATATCGTTAGTTCGATGAGCAAAAAAAAAAAAAAAAAATTAAGAAGAATAAATTTGAAACTTTCAGTAACTTAAATTGATTTAGATGATAAGCACTGTGATTGTAATGAAATATCTACTGTGATCCCACAAAATATGCTTTGATTTTCAAAAGCCATTACGAATTATTCTCAAATACCTATGAACTTTCAGTGTTGGTCTAAACTGTTTTATTATTTACTGAGAAAAGTTGCCTCTTGGTATTCATAAACATCTGTTATCATATTAATTAAACCTTAATTTGATTAAAAAAACTCAAAGCTTTCATCAAGCAAAGATGATAATTAAGCATATTTTAATGCAAAAACAAGATGTTAACAGTTTAAGACTACATATATTTTTTTTGTTAGTTCAGCAACTGTTAACTTAGTATATATATATATATATTATTATTAACAATATTAATGTTACTTATGAAAAAGACAACCATTTATGAATTTGGTATAACTTCCTTACCAATACATCCTTTAAATCCTTTGTCTGAAGATGATGTAGAGGTTCCAGAAAATTTTGTTTTACACTGTCTTCTAGAGCAAAACGCACTTCCGCCATCTGCCTTAATGTCTCCCCTGTTTCTATTAGGCTCTGAGCTGTATACAACAGTACAAGAAATTATCATCTATGAATTCAACACTTAAAGAAGACACTTTAAAGAGCTTTTGGTGGATTATCTTGTTACTTATTTATTACTCTTATTATATTAAAAATACTTTAAGTCTTTCTTTCTAGTCTCAAGGGTCAGAGGTATTCTTAATACACAGTTTAAACTATAAGATATACACTCAATCAAGATATATATACACACACAATCACAATGAAAATTTATGCAGAAGATTCTGTTAATCTGCTATATACTCAACAGAAAAGTTATTGCATAAAAGATAACTCCAGTATCGAATTGAATTATAATAATATACAAATCTGCTAAAATCTTTATGAAAGTGCTTTACAGATTAAAAATAAATAAATAAATACATATAGTAGGTTAGATAAAGCCTAACACTGCTGGAAATGTTCTTAAACACATTTTACTTCCAAATTACCATTCATTTTATTAGTCTAGTGGAAAATCAAAAGGAAAAATTACAAAGCAGTTAAATCTTTAAATAGGTATTATTTTAACTTGATTTTACTAGTCCCAGAAGCACCACCAACAGGGATAAAAATCAAAATATGTAGCCATGTTCAAAAATTTTCTTCTGAGTGAATTAGTTATGCATAAGTTGATTTGATAATTAATTTTATTTTACTAACTCCACCTGGCAGTAATTTATCTAACTGTGGTCTATAAACTATGTCAGTATTCTGTGGTCACAAAACAAAAAATAAATTTAATTAGAGATTCAAACAATTTGGCACAAATTCCTTTTTTTTGTACTTAAGTACGTATATACAATATTGTAAATTATGGAAGAAGTAAGTGAAAAGTTACGAAAGGTAAATAGTATGGAAATGACACTTTTTTTTTATGAAAATGAACTGTATCAGAGTACAGTCAAGTGATTGATAGTTTACACTATGATTGGTTGTTAACCAACAAAGGAATTACCACACCAGTACAGTCTATAAACGTACAGGCATTCATACTATACCTAATAGCAGTGTTAATCAAGCCATTGCTCCAATGACTCAAACTACAATGTTTTTGCTGGTCAAGGATACTCCACGTGAAAAATTGTGATATGGTTTCCTGTTTCAGTAGGAGCTGTATGCAAGACTCTGAACAGGGTGTGTGAAAATGGCAATGTTATTAACATAAGTGACTAAGGTAGAAAAGTGAGACTTTCCACAAGTGATTTAAGTATCTCACAGTGCACTCTTTATAAGATAGATGATTGTCAAATAGAGATTCTGCCAATGAACTTGCTGTAAATACAGATGTGAATGTTACCTCAAGAACAGTAAAACAGACACTAGAAAGAAGTAGCTTCAATGGATGAGTAAGCTGCTCAGAAAGTGGTGCTGAGAAGAGATAACCAAACCAATAAGTTGAAAAAAAGATCACTAACAGTGGAATAGGCAAAGCTGGAGATGTGTGCTCTTTATACATAAATTCAAGTTTGAACTGTTCAGCAACAATTAATGCCAGTTTGTTTGGTAGCAATAAGGAATGATATGGTCAATATACAACATCTGCAGTGAAGCATGGTGGGTGGACAGTGTTTGTAATCTACACAAAACCGATAGCATCCAGACTGCTAATACGTACACTATCTATTCCCTCAGGTACACAGATAATCGGGTATGGATTCGTCTTTCAGCAAGACAATGATCCCTAGCATACAATAAATGTGGTGAAACAATATCTTGAATGCAAAGAAGTTGATGAAACAACGGGTTGTTCTGCAAAAGTCATAATATGAACATTCTAGGATGTTTGGGTTTCTTTAAAGTCTGAGAAGGTCAGTAGTTTACCTACTAACTTGGCTGAATTGTGGATAGTAATACAAGCAATAAAACAATATTTCATAATCAAACACCGATAATCATATGGCAGCAGGAAAACAAGATGTAGTAGTCAGTGTAAAGCAAAGAGCTCACATACACATCTTTTGTATTTGCTGTGATTATGTTCTGTACCATTAATAAAGTGGGGGGGGGGGCAGGAAGATCAACTGGCTTGGGCCTCAAGCTCAAAAGGGACCTCAAATTTAGACACGCTATTTTTTTTGCAATTGTTAAGTTTCACGACCTGTTTTTATATGCCTCCCAATCAGACCAAATGTGAGACACACACACACTCAGCTTAGAGCTGCAAATTGACTTACCATAGGAAAAACTATTAATTTAATTGGCTAATACAATCAATACTTTTATATTTACGGATCATATATACAACACCTCAAATACACACCCTTGTTGTTAATGGTTAACAAGAAAGGGAAAAGTTTCTAACTAACCAAATATGTTCTCTTCTCCAAAATTCATTCCATATTTGACCATCTCATCTCCAAGGATTCCTTCAGGCTGAGGATAAGCATGAGTCTTGGTTCCTCCTCGTAATTTTGAACTAACCACCATTTTTGCCCTCGAGGCTATTACAACAGTGAGATAATTACAATCTGCTTGTTAAAAATTATCATAAAAAAATCTAGAAATTTTTTATAAAGTAACAATTCTTTTATAGTTGCCTATTTTCAAATGCTTGCAAGGAATTAACATGTAGTAAAAATTTAAAGATAAATTGGTAAAATGTATTCAAAAACCTTAATAAACCATAACTATTAGGCTTTTATTGGCAAACGCAGTTGCCAGAATGTTTATGAGCTCATTTTTGGTTCTATAGCTGTGTAACATTTTACCACTAAATAAATTTTTATAGCAATTCCCATACTTATTATTATTATTATTAATAAATTTAAAATTTTTACTAGGATAAATTTAAAAATTTTAATTGCAGCTTCATACAAAATTTCAGAAAGATGCATAGGGTATAAAATATCAGCAGTGACAAATTGAAAAAAATATATAACGTTTTTGTCCATTAGGCCTACAATGTATGTTATACTATTGAAGTTTACCCACCAACTTAGTTATGCTATAACAGTGATCAATTCATAATGAATTTTTCCCTTTTTTTTTAAATTGCCCACTGTCTAAACTTACATATACTTAAAAGACAACACTGTTGCCAAAAGCCTATAAAGTTATAATTTTAGATAGAATAAACAAAAGCTGTAAAAAGCTCAACTACAGTAATATTTAAACCTAATAGTTTATTTTTCTAAAGGATAAGTTGTCTGGGCATTTGAGAATATTCTCTTTGAAGTTCCCAATAATTTTTTAAAACAAAGTTTTTTCAATCAATGTTTATCTTTAAGTGCCCAGACCTCCCAATATAACCAAGTATTCTACTGGAATCCTGCTGCAGCATAATTTATTCAATTTGGTTTCACATAAAATTGCAATAAACTTCTAAAAATCAAGAAATTCAGAATTTTTTAGCTGACTTCTAGCCATTTTGGGGTAGTAATATATATCTCATTAGTACTACAGCCCTCTTTAATTATAAATTGTCCTTTTACAACAAATATTATGTAGAAAACAGACATCTACTTACATAGCTATATATTTGTTAACAAACCAAGCTACTTAAACCTGTTTTAGAAATTTTTGCAATGTTGAATTTACATATATAAATATAGATTTTTTTCAAGGTTAGTCACAAAGTTTGGAAAGCTGGTATCAACAAGGTTAACCACGAGGTCAGGTGATGTAAAAATGACATAGCACCTGAACCAGTTATATCTATAGGTGATTTGAATTATCAAGCACAAAAATACCTGGATTGGGTTGGAGGAATTCCTTTGTCTTGGTTATCAGTTCTTCCACTAACTCATTCAGCAAATCTACTTTCTATTTAAAAAGCAAAAAACAATACAAGTTCTTAATTTCAAAGCACATGGCATATGATAATTTTTTATTTGTTTGGCTGCTTTCAACCAGGGTAAAAATTGTTAAATAACCATTCAAAATATGAAGCCTACAGAATTCACACTTACCTTTTTTTTTTTTATGTTTGATGATTTTTGTTTACAAAGTTTATATTGATTTAACATTTTAATTTTATTAGCTAATAGACTTGAAACTTTTAAGGAATGATGAAAATAAAATTCTTAAATATCTAGTAGATATGGAGCAGATAGACATCATGAGAACGTAACCAATAATAATAATAAACAAAATGGAAATTTACATAGTAATTGGTCTTAACTTTCAGCAATTGCAATGAAAAATAAAAAAGATTGTAGTGTCTATTTTAGAGAAGAACTGACAGTCAAAGTTGTCAAATTACAATAAGGTTTCTGAAATGAAACAAATCAATTTATATCTACGATGAAATTATACTCCTCAAAAACACAAATTTCAGAAACATCTAATTCTATAACACCCTTTATGTTTGAAGATATACGACAGTGAGACTAGCAATAAATTAACTCGGCAATACAAAGTGGCCGCTTAATATCATATTATGGAAGATTAGGGAGAATTAGATATATTTCACTCCATCCTTCTTAGAAACTTGGTACTGAATTGAAACTTCTGGTAATATTAATATTATAAAACTATAATTATATGAATGGCAGGAATTGTATCTACATTCCGGGCACCTTCAAGATATGGTAAAATACCTAAAAAGAATACTTTTTTTAAGTTTCAGTTATGTTCAAATAAACCCAAAAATATGATTTTGTTTGAAAATGGATTAATAACTATTGAGGTATTTGTCATAATAAAACAAATTAAGAACAATCAATATTTTGATATGTTAGAATTATCCATAAAACAATGTCCAAAACATGATCAAAATGCAAAAACTGTACACTGTCTACATTATATGCACTTATTTATTTATTTCCTATACTGACGTCACTTTATCTAAACAGGTCATATTGTTGGGAAGGTATTGATACCAAATATACTATAACATTTTTGCAAACAGCTGGAAAATAAACCTCTACATTTAATGCTAACAGTAGCACATCTTGAGGTAGCACATGATTCATCTATGCCTACTAAACAGATTGTAACCATACCCATTATTCAGTTTTACTAGATGTAACATATGTAATTTTCAAACACAGCTGAAACAGAAAATTTGGCTAACAATATTTTATTTCTTGCATTTTAAGATTAAAATACTGTACAAAATAAAATTATCTTTAAAGGACATAAAATGACTTGCATGTAGAGGAATAAATTAATGCAGCATTCACACATACACACATTTATATAAGTGAAAATTATTTGTGATATTTTATCTTCAGTAAAACAACCTTTAATAATAAAAACAATGTAATTATGATCACAGATGAAAGACTTATCTTCAATTATCTGTACTTCTATCAAATGTTCAAAAACAAAGCAAGAGAAGAGACTTGCATACAGAAGAAGCTGCAGTATTGATGTTTAATCAGAGCTGAAAAACTACTGAGAAAAACTCATTATAAAAACTATCTACAAAACAAGACATTACAGAAACCTTCAACATCAGTGGGATACAAACAAACAAAACTACACCTCTATACATCAAAGATCTCGGAAAGAAGCAAAAATTAATTTTGAATAATTTTAGAAAATGAGTTACATTCAAGAGCACTCTCTTCTAAACATCTTAGGAGTGCAGGAAGGTGCAATGAACCATTGTCACCAATTATCAAGCTGTGGTTCTCCATCTGTGCTGCAACTAGTGGTTCCTCAACAAGCTCAGAGGCACAAAATTCTCCAGGCTTTGCATAACACACAGACTGGAGGGCACCAAGGTATTACATGTACTCTTCTTAACAGAGGCACAAAATTCTCCAGACTTTGCATAACACAAAGACTGGAAAGCACCAAGGTATTACATACACTCTTCTTAATGTTCGATAGCCATTCTAGTGACAGCATTTGAGTCAAGATGTTCAATACTGGTGTAAGCACTGCATGGTGTGTGCTGCCCAGAGAAAGAGCCCATCTAAATAGTTAAACTTCAACAAAAAATAGCACTAGATATTGTTGGTTCACTCCCAGAAACTGAATGAAGTACTCAGTACATATCAGTTATCAGCAGCTACCTCGCCAAGTGGACCACTGGTCAATATTTTTGCACAGCCCATATCTGATGTATTTACAGAGCACTGGAGAGCCTGGTTTGGAGCACCTGAAGATATTCATAAGCTCTTGTAGACTAAACAGCTTTTAGCTCTCCTGTAAAAGGCAACTGTTCATCATGCTGAATAAATACAACTGCTACTGTTGTACTAAATAAACACTGTTTTCACTGTGTTCTCACATTTGTGTCCAGTCTTCTTCTTTCACAAAGTGAATCAGGTTCAAAGAATTCAGAATTACTTCGTAATATATTTCCAGGTTGGATCTCCTGTTATTCTGCCAACCTAACTTATACACTCTTGGGAGAAATCAGTTTTATCTGAGAATATCACATTACAAACAATAATTACTACATAAACCTGATTGGTAACAAAATTCTATGAATGGTAATTAGAGATGTGCAGTTAACCTGATTAATCAATTAACACTAACATTGATTATTGTCCTGTAAAGTTATCCATTCATCCAATTTCTGATTAAATTTGTTAGTGTCACATAAAATTGTCAATTAATAAAGATTCTGAGTAAATCAATTAATATCACTAAAATAATAAACTAATCAAAAATAGTGTTTCTGATAATTCCAATTATTCATGAAATCAAAATGTAACCACTATGACTGCTCATTATTATTTTTGATTAATTCAAGTTTGTTCAGCTCAGTTAATGACATGACCCAAAAAAATAAGTGTCAAAATGGCATTTTGATGATCCAAAATAATGACTAATTTTTTTACCCACAATAATCTTATACTCCACTACCTCTGACAAATGTATTCAGTTTATTTTTGTAGAGTGAAAATGGACCTAAAGTATTTAAGTACTTGATTACCTTGATGTAATTTCTGTTCACCACCATTGCTTGATTGCTTCATATAGCTGTTTGTATAAAACTGTAAACTTGATCTTATGTTAGCCTGTACCTAGACAATGTTTAGTATTTTCCTGATTTATAATCAATGTTATGAAGTAACATTTATTTTCATCAACAAAAATATATATCGATTTTAGTAGAGAAGTCTTATGAAAATTTGTAAGGAAAAACCCATGGAACAGTATTAATTGTATTTAGAGTTTGTTACAGGTTTGATACCACTTTACATACATGATAAATTTGTGTAAACATCATACAATTTAAAAAGTAACTTCATCATACATTGTTGTACCTGAAGGTGTCTACATTTATATCTAAATTCAAGCATAGAGATCAGTAGGTTTCAGAAGTTTAAAAATCAGTCTCTTAAATATGGTTCTAATTGGTTATCTGACCATTTTTACAGAGTTGCGTAAAGAAACGTAATTACTTACTCTTTCCATTTCCATATATTCCTCTGTAAACTTAGTTCCCTCTGCTCCACCAATCTTCTCACTCATATACTGTAAGAATTTAGAAAATTATTAGGTGTGTCTGAGACAACCTATCATTAGCAGTATTATTCAAATGTTTAACATATCTGTTTTTAATTTTATTATATTTTTTATCATAAAGATTATTTTACATTGCTATCTTAGTATCTCATTTTACAAATAACTAAATCTCATAAGCAAGCTGAACTTCACAACTCAGTTGTAAGATATTACTAGGATTATGGTTGAAAATACTGATAACCATGAAGGTACCTAATTGACTATATTATGCATTGTAAACACCTTAACTGAAAGAAAGAAAAAAAAAACTAATAAAGCATAATCCTTTGCCTTTAAAGTCCAATTAATATAAATAACATAATTAAAATACACCACCTAGCATATATTTTAGGTTCTATCTTTCTATTTATTATCATTAACTTTTATCTGTTACTTACTATTCTTAGGTGGATTTCAAATTGTCACAAAATTTTATTTCAGTTATTTTACAAAATTGTTTTAAACCAAAGCTATTTACCAATGTACAATAAAGTGTATACTGTGAAAAGAATTCTCTATTAGGCAAAATAAAGTTAAACACTAACTTGTTATAATTGTGTACATAAGAAATATAATACAAATGAAACTTTAATCTATTCTGTGATAGGTTGTTTAGGCAGAGTATTCAGGATGAAACTTGGTTGAATGGATGGCAAATGCCTGTTGCAGAAACACAAGTACAGAGGACGATGTTTCGAAAGTCTTATGCCTGAAGACGAAAGACTTTTGAAAAGTCATCCTCTACACATGTGTTTCTACAACGGGCAGTTGCCATCCATTCAACTAAACTTCACCATAACTTTAATCTATTTTAATTTTATGCTCCTAGAAAAATGTAACATCTCACAGATTTTACTATTTATTACATGCAAATTCCTCAAAAGTTTTCAGAATTTCAAAATGATAAAAATGTAAGGGAATTACTCAAGCATCAGAAAAATGTATTAAGTCATAATAAAGGTGTGAAGGAAGCAAATTAATACACAATCTTTTTTTCTTTGTTTTTTACATTAAAACAGGTTGTTTTTCATAATTTAAAAGAGGAACAGTTTGGCCTCTTCCTACAAATATGCAAATTACTTTGGATTAATTTTTTCTTCAACCCTTAAGACATTCATTGATCAATCAATTCAAATCTGTGTTATGTAATAAAACAGTATTAAACTATATAAAAATAATACAAACTAATGTGTTCTGTAACATTTCTTTTGTATTTAAAACCACATTTATTCAACTTATTTTTCTCATGAGCCTTGCAATAACCAATTACACCTCTAAAAAATCATTTATGTAACTATCTATACTTCTCTTTCATAACTAATGATGCCCTGTTTAAGAGGTTTTGCTTATCAATGAGTATATATTACACCTACAGTTATCAGTAACGAATGATAAGTAGATCAGAAGATAATAATTTGCTACATACAGCATGATATGCATTATTTTAATGAACAAAATTTATCTGGAAATTGTCACAGTGACATGACAGTTTTACTGATGTAACTTTTTTAACAGTCAGGATATGCAATAAAACCTTTTTTTAATGACTGAAAATATTTGTATTTGTAATTTCTCTCTATTGAAATTATACACAAATAATAAATTTTTAGAAACGTGTAGGTGTAAAATCTGAAAAGTATATTTTGCACTTAATTTGTACAGTGAGTGAAATTCCTTTTATCGTATGTAATTATGTAAAGTGTACTATGGCACTATGTTTACAGTTATATATGAATCTTTCTCTCAAGATTATTAACTTGTAGAAAGTAGAAAACAGGGTCTTAGGTTCAAAGTTTTCAGAAGCGATATTTGTATTAAAATCATTTTTATTATCACACAAAACTATCTATAGAGGGAGAAAAAAAGGAGTACAACTGTATATGTTTTTCAATATGTATTGTGCACAAGTTAACAGGAAATTATGTGGCTTCTAAAAAAAAGTATTTCAAGTTTTAAGACTTGTGGTATGATAATGAAAGTAAATAAAAACTTATTTTTCACACAACATTAAATAATAACAGTAGTAGTCTAAATCACCAATAAAAATGTGTTTCAATCTTGATGATATGTCAAGTCTCAGATTTGGGAAGCATGATTATCCCTACAAGTACAGTTTAAGGTAGTAGGACTGTAACAAAAATAGTTATACAGATAATAGACTCTGAGTAAACCTACCCCACCATATGTCCTTGTTTAAAAATAACTTGAAACATCTGTTCTATACAATATCATTTTTGACCTCTAATAACAATATGTAAAGGATATTATGAATGCACTAAAATGTGAAAAGATAGTTTTTTTAAATCAAGTACTGATATTATAAACTTAATTCTGAAGTACTTTTCTACAACTCAAATAGAGAAATTGAAGGCTTCAATAAAAATAGGTATCTGTTGTCCCTTTCTGGGGTCATTCAATATTGTGATATAACTTAAGAAGGTGTGTAAGTTTGTCAGCATAAAAATATCAAAAGATAAGTTTAAAAATTCATATAAACTGAACGATATAAAAACTTCGTACAAAAGTTTTTGATGTTGTTGTTTTAATAATAAATGTTTTCTTTGATATTTTAACGCACATGTTCCTATAAACCCAAAGAAACGTTTTCTTTGTGGCACTGGTTTGGTAAGAACAAACCTCAGCATGAGGTGAAGGATCGCAAATACGTAAGAAATCCTTGCTCTATTTCCGCCACAGATAAGTTATTTTTAGCGACATATAAGCTCTTCTCCCCTAGCGGCAGAAAATCATTAAAAGAAAGGGATTCAAGGTCAGGACGGTAAAGCTATGCCTCCCAACTAAAACTTAATCTAAACTCAAAATGTGATCAAAACAATTTTGCTAACTTTATAATTGTGCATTTTTAAACAGAAAACAAATAATTATATTTTAAATCACTACAGGTAGAATGATGTTTAGTTAGTAAGGTGTACAACATACAGTCGTTTGGCATTTCAAAATAGTGATAAGACTTATTATTATCGCGCTAAATGTCGGAGTCTTGAATGTGTTTCAGAAAGTCACGTATGTAAACGTTTGGTGGGAAATTAAGGTCCAAGAAATGAATAAGTATCGTATCCATACGGTTTACATTCTACATTCTATCAACCCGTTTCTTTATTATTATTTATCTTAACCATTATCCAGTCCATTTTCACTCAGTTTTTAATACTACTCAACTTTGAATTCGTGAACTTTATTGCGAATTTTCTTTATGTAAACCTTAAATATGTAAATTAAAAACATCTTACGAACTTAACGCAGCACAAACAGAAATTTCTCAATGTTGAATGATTAAATAACTCACTTAGAACAAGACTTTTTTTTTTACATAATAAATTCTGGAACTTCGTTATACTACAGATGCTTTTATCCCCACAATCCTTTTACTTTGCCAATTTCCGATTCGAAATTACAGGAGTGTAAAATTAGAATTCACGATCTATCTTGTCTTCCGTAAGTCACTACCCAATAGATCTTTATTCGTCTTTAGGCACTCGACTCGCAATCTGTGGGTCGCGGGTTCGAATCCCCGTCACACCAAACACCTTTCAGCCGTTGGGGCGTTATAACGTGACGGTCAATCCGACTATTCGTTGGTAAAAGAGTAGTCCAAGAGTTGGCCATGGGTGGCGATGACTAGCTGCATTCCCTCTAGTCTTACACTGCTAAATTAAAGACGGCTAGCGCAGATAGCCCTCGTGTAGCTTTGCGCGAAATTCAAAAACAAACAAACAATCGCCGTTAGTTATGCTGCACAATTACAGAAACGAGTTTTGAAAGCAATGTATAGACTCGGTTTCAACACTGAAAGTGTTTCAGAAAAAAACTGACGAGTTTTGGTATTACGCGAAAGGTCTTCTAGGCAGCGACGTATGAGAGATAAATTTGAAATGTTATTTTTACACACCTACAATTTTAAACAGTATACGCTTCCTTCCATTGAAAGAAAACTAAGGCCTTAGTCATACTACATTAGCAGAATAGGCATACCCCCTAAAAAATAATAGAACTTTGGAGAAACTATCAGTCAATGTTTTGTTGTTGTTGTTTTTACATGTCTGAGTAGCCCATCTATTACTTACTATTGTTTTCTTGGTTACTGATTAATAGTGGTGAGTATCTCATCATAGTAGTCGATACGATACTGTTGCGTCAGCGAGGTCACGTGACTAGTGTCACGCCCCCTGCTTTCTGGAAATATCTTGTACCTTCGTGAATCGTCGGGAGATTACTAGATATAGGGTAGTCTGGTATATATATAAGAGGGTGACAACGTGACGGGACAATAATATGTGTGTAGACAGTGAGTAATTGATCTGCAGTCAGAAAGTATTGTTGAAGTTAACGTGCTAAAACAAACGCTATAACAACAATCGCCCTTACTTAATAAAACTGGTTTATTCTTTCCGAATATAACTTTACGATACACTTAATTTCAACGTTCCGACGAAACTTTAGCGACACAAGTAAGTTACGGAAAGTTAATTAACAAACGGAGACTAACAATAAATTCAAACTCGCAAAATAGAAATGTCATTAACAATTTCAAACATGTTTAAACCTTCCAAAGTGGAACTTGTTGATAAGTTAGAACTCAGTGAGGTCTTCCAAAGTGGAACTTGTTGATAAATTAGGACTCAGTGAGGCTTCACAAAAACGAAATATTGTTGATAAATTCAAACTCGCAAAATAGAAATGTCATTAACAATTTCAAACATGTTTAAACCTTCCAAAGTGGAACTTGTTGATAAGCTAGAACTCAGTGAGGCCTTCCAAAGTGGAACTTGTTGATAAGCTAGAACTCAGTGAGGCCTTCCAAAGTGGAACTTGTTGATAAGTTAGAACTCACTGAGGCCTTCCAAAGTGGAACTTGTTGATAAGTTAGAACTCAGTGAGGCCTTCCAAAGTGGAACATTCTGATAAGTTAGAACTCAGTGAGGCCTTCCAAAGTGGAACTTGTTGATAAG